TCACTACTGAAAATATTAGTCTGTGAACACTGCTTATTCATCAGTGATATCTCCTTTCTTCAAGGAAGTGAAACTTCTACATTCAAAATGGAAAAATACATTTTAAAAAAGAATCTTTAGTTGTTTCAGGGCCCTTCAGAACTCAACCCCAGTGTCTTTTCTATACCAGCAGAAGTCATGAAACATAAGTAGTGAGCACAGAAGAAGGTTTCTGCTGGGTTGGTACAGAGTCTGTTTCCCTCACCACTGAGTAACTTTCAGTTTACATCTCAAGGGCTGGGAGAAAGGGATTCCAAATCAGAGTCTTCCCTCAGATGTAATTGAGAAGTACACTACAAAGATACAGGTTTCTGTTTACAGATGAAGCACTACAAAGTTGTAAAGGCTGATAAAATAATATTTTTAAATGTTGTATACAATTCTGAATAACATGCAAGATATAGCTCTGGGCCAGTACAATGAGCAGTAATTGTAGTTTCAAGCAAAAGTGTTACTAATTGAGCTAATCTAACTGTGTAGTCATTTCTAAATATTTTTATTAACTCTAACAAAGATTGGTACTCTTTTAAGAGTCTATTTTGTTGTGAGTACAAGAAAAAGATCTTTGGTGTCTTTTTATTCTTTTTTTAAAAATGAGGGTGCCAGCATAGTATCATGTGATTCTCAAAAACTGACAATTTGGAAGTTGGGGACACTGAGGAAAATACTAATGGAAACAAATGTGAGTAACCTTTAAATGCTTATTTTTCTGATAACATGTTAGAATAGACTTTTTTGTTTGTTTACCTGGCATTCTTACTCTTAGATGCATATGGTTAAAAAAAAATCATCATATGATCTTAGTTTCCACTCTCAAAATAGATCACAATGGTTTCTCCAGCATGTGAGCAGTTTCATTGGTGAAAAAGACGTGGCCATACATACTATAAAATAAACTATTTTTACTGCCCTTAGAATCTTTGTTGTGAGCATCAGTAATTATTCCAAACATTCCAAATTCTAGAATCTGTAGTCTTCCAGATGTGGCTGGTAAAAAGGGAATTCAGTATTACAAGAAGGGAGACCTGCAATAATTGCGGGGGGGGGGAGCTCCATGCGGAGGAGGAGGAACCAGCTGCAGGTAAGCACCAACGGCACCAACGGCGAGGCCCGTGTGGCTCCTGCCGGGTCCGCCAAGCCTTCTCTCCCCCCAGCACCAATGGCAAGGCCCGCGCAGCTCCCAGCTGCCGGGCCTACTAAGCCTTCTCCCCCACCCCCTGGCACCAATGGCAAGGCCCGCATGGCTCCCGCTGGGCCCGCCAAGCCTTCTCCCCGCCCCCCTGGCACCAATGGCAAGGCCCGCATGGCTCCCAGCCATCGTGCCCGCCAAGTTTTCTCTCTCCCCCCTGCGGCAGCAGCAGCGAGGCCTGAGCAGGCAACCCGTCAAGCCTTCTCCCGCCCTCGGCAGCAGTGGCGAGGCAGTTCTCAGCGTTCTCTGTGCATGCACAGGGAATGCTCTTTTACTTTTGTGGGATTTAAGTATCCCTCCTATATATTTTTTATAGATTTCAGATTTTTCTGCACATCTGGGGATTGCCCCAAATGTGCAGGAAAATCTCTTTGCTCCCTAGGTGCCCCCGATGTGTGGATTTAGATATCCGCACGCAGGGGGTGCCTTGGCTATTAGTACCAGTCTTATAGTTCATCAACTATATGTATATATAAAGATAGATGGTAATTCATATACATGTAGTTAGTTGAAAATGACAGCAGTGTTTCCTTTAACTGTTGCAAGATCCAAGGTCTGTCTCTTTCTGAAAGCCAGATCAGACATACTCAAGTATACTCAGGTAGAATTATTTTACCCCATTTTCAGGTGGTAAGAGTTTGTCTGAAATTACCCTCCTGATTCATTATTTATAGCCTGTAATGAAAGAGTCATTCCCAAGTTTTCTCTCTAGTGTAGTAAAGTGTGTTTAGTTCTTTAGAGGGAGGAGATTTTTAGACAAACTTCTGCATGACATATGGGACCATTCCTACAAGTAGATTGTACTGTCTCAGAAACACATGCCTGAATCAACCCTGAATTCAATATCTCTGGTGTAAGCCTGTAGATTACTCCAAAAGAGCAAACAACAGTTTCAATAATCAATTTCAGCTATTCCTGGATGAGCTCACAATGCAACTATGTATAGCCATGTATACAGGACAAATATTATCAAGCCTAAGTAAATATATGAATAAATGTTATGCAACCATGTATAACACTCCTGCCAGAGGGGAGTCTCTGTGACTAAAGTTGCTGTTGTCTTTTGATTTCCAATGGACATGAGTACTTTTAAGTATTGAAAGGCGGGAGACAATTATCAATACAAGGCTTTTATTCAGAACATTACTCAGCTCTAATCTGACTCTGCGAAGAGCGGCATCCAAACTTATACTGTTCCAAACTGAGCTATATACAATATAACTACTTTCATGAGGTCTGATTGGACCTAAGTGGCTTTCTGATAGGATACTCTGTATGGCTTTAGGACTACTAGAAGGTCTTTATTACGCAGCCAATCACCACAGAGGAAGCTAGGATACTTTAGCACAAACCATAACTAAACAGCTTAGAAATAACTCAGAACATAACAAGTATGCTGGAGGGTTTTTTTTAAATTAATGCTATTTAACAGAGAATAATTATTATTACTTCTTATAGCTTTGGTTATTTAGTATTAAGAAATTGCTTGGTTTTAAACATATTTCTATTAAACTCACATTTTATTTCATTTCACGTTACATTTTCTGAAAAGTATTGATGATCCAGTATCTGGCACAGTGAGTTGAAGACTGATTTTCTGTTATAAAGACATAACCATGAGAAAATTTCTTGCTTAAAAAAAAAATTAAATTTATTTATTATTTAACTTTCAATTTCTTGACCGCTCACCCCCGAAGGGCTCTGAGCGGTTTACAGCATACAATTTAACGATCCTAGCTAGGGCCACATAGTACTGGGGAGGGGAATACGTGTTTAGGCTTGATTTTGTTTGCTGTCAAGTCACATCTGACTTATAGCGACCCTGTGGGGTTTTCAGCTCAAGAGACATTCAAAGGTGGTTTGCCATTGCATTTCTCTGTGTCACAATTAGGGGTGTGTAAAAAACACAACCCAGTATTTTTCAGGTTTGGATATCGAATCGAATTAGTTTAATACAGTCAAAGACCAATCAGGGATATAAAATATAGATTCTACATAAAAGCTTACATTCAAACTAAAACATGTAAACATAAAATCAGCCTCTGTTATATACATTAAGTCTTAAAATTAAAATTACTTAAATACCTCTCCCAGCAATTTGTTTCCGTAATCTTATAGCTTGTATGGCAAATTTTGCCACATTTAAGGTAATTTTTTGATCCCTATCGGCTAGTAGCTTACCTAGATCAGGTTTGGGTATATTGAACCAAATAAATATCAGTATTTCCCAATACTCCCGAATCCCAATGCCGGTATGGTATTCAGATTTGGTAAATATTTGGGATTGCTGAATTTTTGGCTCCATTATACCCTATGGGGACCATTATAGTCAATGGTCCCCATAAGGTATCATGGAGAATCGATCTGGGGGTATCTGAAGCTCTGTCAGGCTGGTTTTTTGTTTTTGTTTTTTGAGTTAGAGGCACCCAATTTGCGGACTTGCTACTGGTGCCTCTCCTAAAAAAACAACAACCAAGTTTCAAAAAGATTGACCAGTGGGTCTACTTCTGTGGGCCCCAGAAGAAGTTGCCCCATGGAGGGAAAAAAGCATTTAAATGGAACATAGTCCCTTTAAATGTGTTTTGCAAGCCGCAGCTGAACTCTGAAGGCATTTAAAGGGCTCTTGGGCCTTTTAAATGCCTTGTCCAAGCCACTACTTCACCCGGAAGGATAAATACTCCAGCTGATATCTGGCTGAAAAAGTACCCCAAAAATACTGGTAAAGTATTTTTCAGGGGGGTTTCGGCCCACGAATGCACACCTCTAATCACAACCTTGGTATTTCTTGGTCATCTCCCTTCCAAATACTGGCCCTGGCTGACCCTGATAAGTTTCTAAGATATGACGAGATCAGGCTATCCTGGGGCTATCCAGGTCAGGGTTTAAGCTTGATACAGTCTAGTTTTTCATTAAGCTGATTCTCTATTTTGATGCCTTATAACTATCTAAACACTGCAGTTTGCTGATTTCTCAAGTTATAGATTTTTTAAAATCTTATGGTTACACATTATGGTTACCAGTAAGTAATAACCCTTGCTTCTGGAAGTTCTAGTGCCATCCTAAGCAGAGTTATACCCTTCTAAGCCCATTGACCTCAGTAGACTTAGAATGGCACAGCTCTGTTTAGGATGACACTGTCTGAAAAGTCAATGCTTAGCACTGCAGTTTCTAGAAGAGAGAAATGGAAATACATATTTTAAGATAAATACAATTTTATGTGGTATTCTGCCCTGACCTGAATAGCCCAGGCTAACCCAGTCTCATCACATCTCAGAATCTAAGCAGGGTCGGCTCTAGCTAGTATTTGGATAGGAGACCTCCACGAAATACCAGGATCATGACACGAAGACAGGCAATGGCAAACCACCTGTGAACATCACTTGCCTTGAAAACCCTATGGGGGTCACCGTTAGTCAGCTGTGACAATGGCAAAAAAGGTGGTATTTATGGATATTTTTAACTATCCAAATACAAATTGACCCAAGCTGTAAATATAGAGCATTATCTTAAATAAGCAATTTATTGTATACCAATTTCTAAAATACTGAAAATTCCAATATATTTAAAAATTATGTAGTTAGTAGCGCTGGGTAGTATAAAGTGTCTGGTTAATTGTTTACCAACAATTTTAATGGCTACAACAATAAATTAACTTTTTTTGGAAATATTGATTTCAATAGGTTATTTAAAATGTATTTTTCTTTGTCATTGAAGTTGTGTTGATTTACATCATAGTGGTTGTACTAACATTGCTAATACTTCTTTCTTTCAGTGGCAACAGATGTCTTCAGTTCCAAAGGTCTGGCCATTCAGGCCCAGAAGAAGATTCTTGGCAAAATGGCATCCAAATCAATAGCAACAGCTCTGATAGATGACACTAGCAGTGATGTGTTGGATGAACTCTACAGAGTGACAAAGGAATACACACAAAACAAGAAGGAGGCAGAGAAAATAATAAAAAATCTCATCAAAACTGTTATCAAATTAGCAATCCTTTACAGAAATAACCAGTTTAATCAAGAAGAAATCATTCTTATGGAGAAGTTCAAGAAGAAGGTTCACCAGTTGGCTAAAACTGTGGTTAGCTTCTATCAGGTGGATTATACCTTTGACAGAATTTTTTTGTCAAAACTGTTGAATGACTGCAGAGATCTTCTTCATCAAATCATCCAGCGTCACCTCACTGCTAAATCACATGGACGTGTCAACAATGTCTTTGATCACTTCTCAGATTGTGAATTTCTGGCTGCCTTGTACAATCCATTTGGACCTTACAAGTCTCACTTGCAGAAACTTTGTGATGGTGTCAACAAAATGTTAGATGATGGAAATATATAAGTAACTGCGCCTGATCATATGTTCATAGACTGAGGATGAATTAT